CTTATAAATTATTCAAAAAGATTTATATATTTTAGATCTTCATTTTAAGTAACTTTACTTCTCTGCTAATTTTTATAATTAGACGGAATTAAAAGATCATCTTCAATGTCTATTAGTAGAAAAGGAAAATTTGTTTAAATTATTGGAGGAATTTGTAATTAGAAAATAATGAGCATTCTTCATTCACCGATGCGAATTTATGATTCATGCCAATATGTAATAAATTATCCATCGTGAGCCATATCGAAAATATTCAGAGGATCCAAAATAATAATTTCTCTGATCAAAGAGAGAATAGTTCGTAACTCGAAAAGTTCATTTCTCATTACATTTTCATTAAATAGTTCGTACCTAGTATGTACTGTGCGTCACATTTCGCTCGCGTTAATTAATAACAACTTTTAGTTGAAATAAGTAATTATGCACGGATCTACTCACTAAAAACTACATAATTTTGACAAGTTATTATAACAATGTTTTGTGAAATTCATGCCCGTTTTGAAATTCATGCTTTTCGTGTTCTATATTTGCTACGACGTCATTTATGTTATATTTTTTTACTCTACCATACATAATGTTATACATTGTGTTTAAAAAATTGCAACAAAATGTTTGATCCGACTTTTAACTAATAAAGTTAATCATCGACAGTGATTATTCATTGTAAGTTCCACTTTATGTAATATTTTTTTACGCAAAATTTGATGATTTATTCGAGTTTAAGAAAAAATATTCGACATTCCATTTAAAAAATTAAAAGTAAATAATATCTCGTTGAGAAAGTAAAGTAATAAAATAGAGATTAGAGCACTGTACATTCCCCTAGATAGGAAGCAACTTTTATTTGAAACATTTTTTCGTACAACGAATAACTTAAAAGTTATTTTAAGTCGTCATGTTGGGAGACTCGCTTTGTGCATATAATTTTTATTATTTTATTTTATATATTTATAAGATATAAGGTAAAAGCACCAATAGTTGACCAGTTAAAACAAATTTTCGGCTTGAATAGTAGTAAACGTTTGCTCCTTTATTAGATAAACTCTATGCGTAAAAATGCTGTTTGACTTTCTTACATTATGTAAGAAAGTGAATTTTTTTCAAATAGTTACGTTATTGAAATTTTATAGACATTTTTGAAAATTCGATACTTGCGTCAGAAGTTGACCTTCCTTTGAAACGAGAAAACTAATAATTGACCATATGTTAGTTGACCAGTTATAGTAAAACCAAAAGCACTAAATGTGATTACTTTAATATCGTTTATCTGCAACGATTATGAGAAATTACTAGTAAAAGGACAAATACAAATGAAAAGAAGCTGATTCCATGTTGGAGATTGGAGGCATATAACCAACGTCAATGAAATAAATTGTTAGTTTTTTACGATAAACAATTTAATTGAGGTAAAAGTGTTTCGGAGTTGAGTTGGTAGATGCTGCAGCATATCTACCGCGCCTTTATCGGAAGATCATTACTTTTAAAACCCTCATTTTTTTTACGTTTTCCTGAAAAATGGTAAACTACTGATATATACCAGATTAATTACTAGTGCCTTTACCTTACAATTTTTGATTTATGACGTTACATGTCAAGTGGTTCTAAACTTTCGACCAGTAGTGTATATCCCAGTCGCATTAGGGAAGCTAATCCTTCATGTTCAAACAAAATGAGTTTGAAAATCGGTCAGGCACGCGTATATCTACTAAACCTCCTCTTCCAACAATTCCGCTCTACCGTAATTGATTGTGTCGTATTCGAGTGATGGTTGATGAATTCGGCAATTGCGTGGCGTAAAGCGCGAGCGTGTTTGGTGAGTGCTCTTAATACTTTGATGCTGCACGTTTAACGCTAGTATTTACTCTTACGTTTCGCCGGCACGTCAAGTGTAAGACTTACAGTTCGTTTTCGCAGGCACTTCTCGCGCAGTCGTTCCTGGAGTAATTAAATCGTATTTGTTGAGGGAAACAGTGAAGCCATCATTTAAACTGTGCAACGTATCTTTATTTTATGTCATCATAAAAGACGTTGTTACGGTGCCGACAGGCAACCGTTGATAAAGCAAATTTACGTTGCGAGGTATCGATTGGTAATCGCTGACTTGGTGAAATCACGTATTCGCGACAGCGGTTGTCAGAGTGTTAACTGTTAAGATGAAAAATCGTTACAATAAATCTATGTAACTGTTACGATCTGCGAATGTTTCGCTTAATTGCTTACCTTTTTTAACATAAGGACTATCAAGCATTTAACCAGTTAATTGTGTTCGATGGGTACACGCGTCATTTTAAAGCTTGATGTTGCAATTATTTCAACGAAAAATTCTTTATTTTTTCAGACAAACATGCAATTCTTCATCGTTTCGCTTTCATTTTTCAACCAAATATACCCTAGATGCATTCGTCCTCCGTTTGACTAGTATTTACACACTTCATTTTTTAATTCTATTGCGCGCAAAACGAGAGATTTTTCAAACTAAATTCCACAGTTAACAGGTTAATACGATTGATATGTAATCTATATAAGAATTATAACAATAGATTATTTTCGGTTTCTTTAGACATTCATTGTAGTATTCAAGTGAAACTATTTATTCTCAAAATCATTCCGAATATTCAATGCTTTTGAGATATCAATTATTGCGAAACAAGAAAACCGAAACCAATCATTTTGACTGGTATAGTAATTCTAGTGTTAATCACGTTAATAACGTGTTTAATTGCATACTTAACATTTGTTGCCAGTACTACGCGCTACCGTACAGAAAACGGTGAAGTTTCGTATACTTATAGAAATACAGTTTATTTAACTCTTTGATTGCGGCATATTCGAAAATGAATTTGTATTTGTCCATGATGGAAACATAATTTATGGGAATTATATTCAACTTTTGTGGAAAAGATTCTAAGTAGGAAACGTAATAATACCAGCATGCGAAAAGCAAACGGATTAATGTACACTGTTAGATACTTATTTAAAACAAATTAACAGCGCTAACGAGTCCTGTTTGCAGTTAAAAGATTAATATTCCAGAATATAAGGTTATCAATATATATGTATGAATATTTGAAAAATTAAATCTTTTAATTCAGATTTTAAATCAGTAAGCTGTTTTTATTAATCTTTTCAATAAATTCTTCGTGAGATTTTAGCGTTGAATAGTAGAGTGTATTCTGTTTCATGTATCACTTTCAGTTAAAATTTTTTTAAATTTTACCTTCAATTATACATTCTTTACGTAACGAGAAATTTTTGTACAGTTTCATTGAGCGAAGCTGGTAAATTGCTGAATTTTTCGATACGAGAAAAGAAATGACCGCACGAAATTAAACAAAATTAAATAAATGCACTTAATTAACTTATATTTCTGTACGAGAAGTTTCCTATCGTATCGCGAAGGTACGTACAGGTCTTTTTTCTCTATTAAACATGTGTTTCAAAGTTACTATTTGAAATTTTATTACATTTCAGTAGAAATATTAAGAAAGTCGTTAATGAATGAATCTTATGAATACATATACAGTTCGCCTCTGCCAATGTGGAACCCGCTCTGTCGGTTATCCGGGTTGAAGAGCAAGAGCTGTTTTTTGGACAAAATTCAATAACTTAAAAAGTATGATGCTTCAGACAAAAGTTGTAAGGTATAGAATTAAACGTATGATGATTATATTTTTGTTTATATTCCGGAGATATTACGTTTTTAATTATATTAAGATTTTTCAATGACAGTGTATATTTTGCATTTCGATTCCAAGAAATTTTGATTTTTCGAATGAAAATCATTTTGTATAGCAGAGACTACTCAGCAACACATTGGTAACTTTCAATTTTCCTTATGCGAATAGTCCGTACTGTGCAGCGGCTCAGTTTCGGCACGTCCTTGGTATTTGCCACCTGCTTTTTTCGTCTCGTGGCTAGGCCAGACAAAGACATACTGAAACTGTGCGGCCATAACAATCGGACCAAGTGCTGCGAGTGGGCGTCTTCCCTTGCCCCCTAACCCGGATAGCCGACAGAGCTGGTTCTAGATGAGAAGAGGCGAACTGTACAATTAAATCCTGACAATCCGAACTCTTATATCTCGAAAACCTCTGTAACTAGAATTATTTGTCCCCTGTCTAGTATGCGTTTTACCTAAAAAAAAATTCGACTTTAGAAGAAGCTCAAGCTCGACAGGCCAACATTCAATTACTTTTACACATGTAGTAAATATAGCGTATCGATGTGTTCCATTGTTACATCGAGCCTATAGAATCTCTGGCTTAATGATCGTTTTAAAAAATTATCTGTCAAATTTTCGTTTGTTAAATTTCGTTTATTTGAACTATGGATGAGACAGCATTTCTCAAGTTATGGAACGCGACCCCAAATGAGATCGTACAGCGAAATGTTGGGGTTACGAAAATTTCATTCAGATACATGAATTTAAAGAAACATTACTCGCGATCCCTTCATTATCTTTAATTTAATATATCACATTTTCTGCACAGTTTAGTTATAAAATCGTAATACTGGCCAAGTTGAGCTGTAAATTATATTTACATATTGAAAAAATAAGCTGTAACGCTTAGTAAATCTAAATGTTGTTCAACATTGAAAAATGTTGAAGATGCTTTACGTCCAACAGTGTCAATGTACCAAGATTTAATTTGTTATGCAGCGAAAAACAAGCACAAATAAACATATAAAAATACCTTTATTTTATATTTAAGTCTGTGGTCGCGAAATAATCTCGATGATGAAAAGGGGTAATGAATGAAAAAAGTTTAATAAGCGCTGGGATAAGAAATCTGCATAATTAAACAATCGTTTGTCTTCTCTTAAAATCTTTTGTCTCGTCTTGTGATTTGACTTCTCGATATTTGACTGTGTCTAGAAATCGATACTGTATACTATGCAGTACGAAGGTACCGAGTAAACACGACATGTGTACGCATATGTAGGAAGGTTTCTCGATAACCGAACGTAATGAAGAGAGTTGTTGCGTATATCTGTTGCAGTGCCTTCAAGGAGTATTTGGCTTGCTCGTACCACACGGTTCGTCGACAATGCGGCGAAGACACAGCTCATTTTACAAAAGAGTTTCTTGACAAAATGTCGGGCACGTTGATAAGGGTAAGTATTAACTACCCTTTGTTGGGTATAGACTGTTATTATGAGTGTGAGGTACATCTATGTCATGTAACGTTAGAAATTGTATACTCCGTTTTAGGAAACGTATTAGGCGGTAATATTCAACTATCCTAAAAGTGAAATAATTAGTTGATTAAGTTTCATTTGTCCCTACAAGTTCAAAAATCCTTTCGAATTCTACGTCTTAGAAAATTAAATCAAAAGAGATTCTTTATTTTTGTTAATACACAAACTTTCAAACTGAATGATAATCAGACCCGAGTCATGCAGAATAACTTGTCAGTATTTTATAACTTTAGATAAAATGAAATGGGGTTTACAACTGGATTACAATAGATTAACACTAAACCGACCGAGCAATTAGAATGACTTATTTTCAATTTTTCATAAAAATCATAACAATACGTTTCTTGAGATTCGAAAGTTCTTCTAATCTTGTATATGTATAAATATACAAATTTAATTAAAAATCATTCGCAAAAACGGATTTACAATTTAAATACTTGAAAAATAAAAATTTTGGAGTGAGTCAATTTGACCTGTCCGGTAGTTTTAGCATTCTAACTAGCGTTTGTGAAATAAATCGTATTAGAGTGGACTAATCCTTGAAATCGCGTGCATCATTCCTGCATCGCACGCCTCTGACCTGAAGGCGACGAATTGAGCTTCCGCGTTAACGAATCTACTCGGTGAAATACTAATTGAGAGACTAAATAAAACAGGTCTGAATTTGGAACCTACCAAACACGAAACCAAAACAAACAAACAAGTTTCGGTTAGATTAACCTAAAATAGATAAACAAGTTTCTCTTTCACTTGGTTTAAATTTTCGTAGGTTCCCACTCGTTCATTTAAAGTTGACGATGATGTTTGCGCAGTAAAGGTCCTTAAAAAGCTGATGCACCTGATCGTGCCAAATATAAAGTAAAATGTAACATTCTCATTTTTTAAAATTTCTTTCGTGTTCTTATACGGAAAAATTTATGTATTAATAATGTAGGATAATTATGAAGGCGGAAAGTATTAATATATGGAATTTTATAATAAATCTGTTTAATATTAAATTACAAAGGGAAATTGATGTAAGCAAGTTTGAAATACAAAATTTTAGGAAGAGCGCTATAAAAGTCTTAAGGTATTATTTTTCTGATATAATTTGTATAATAAATTATAATATTTGAATTTTGAAAAATGACGTTGATATGATGTTACATACACTTAAAATTTTAAAAGAAGCAAATAAAAAAATTTCGATTTTTTTAACCGTCAGGCTGGTCCACCCCTTTAACATTAGGTTCGCGGTATTCGTCAATTTAACGGATATTAGTTGTCACGAACATCATTCGGTCTGGGTTAGTAAACGTTTATATCAATTTTGATTGAAAATAAAAATTCTAAAGTGAGTCAATTTGAGTTGTCTGATAGTTTTAATGCAAAAGACATTGCCGAATTACACGATCCATAACATTGGCTAACGGAGCGATGGATGATTTGATTCCAGGTGCACTGCGAGCCGTACACGGAAGAGGTGTGCGCCATCGGCAGTGGCGCCGGCATCTCTAGCATGCTGACAATAGTACCTGTGGCGTTGGTTCTGCTCACGAGGTACTTCACGTAAGTGGTTAAGCACCACTCGTAGCCGGAAAAAGGAGACGATTTCCGTACACCACGAGCGCCGTGCTGAAACCAGGGGCCCTCCGTTCGTCCTCCGCTTCAGATTCGCCAGAGTACTTTTTTTTTTATTTTCGAAGAGGCACCGAGGAGAAAAAAAGAACATGCTTGCACACGCGCGAGACAAGTGTATCGAGTATCGAGAGGAACGGAGGAAGGGAAAGAGAAGATAAGGGGAAAGGAAACGAAGAAACGTCGAGGGAAGAGGATACAGACCAAGCAAGAGCGATCAAAGCAACGGCACTGCGAGGAAAAACGAAAGTATATAGCTTGCCTCCTTTGCACTCCCGCGGCAAGTGTTTCTCTTTGACACGAAGTCTGAGCTCCGCGAGGAAAACAAAGAGGAAAACGTGCTTTCGAGCTTCGTGACGAGCTTAATCGGCCAATCGAAAGACACACGTCCGTCGAACTGTTCGCCGATCGATTCTCCGGCCCCTGGATACTCAGGACTGTTCGTCCAAAATGGTTCATCGTCGAAGCGGAATAAGTGTCTCAACTGAGAAATTAGGAGAACGAAACAGTTAGCGATACACGTTCAACGCGTGTTGCACCTTGGTTAGGTTTCAGTTTTCTTTACCAAATGGTAGTTTCGATTAACATATAATACAAATAACGCTAAGGAATGTAAAAGGAAGGTAATAATGGTGTCTCCAGGATGTATATCTTCATGTAAATTGTACCTAATAGATGATTTACCAGAGATGCCATTAACGGCGACCAACGCGAACTGAGAGTGATCAAAACTAAAAATGTCCAACATCCATAACGGACAGATCTTGAAATAAAGCACACGAAGAGTGTCAGTGAACTGTCAGGCAGATCGTGGCAGAAAGAATCCAGCGAATATCCGTGGACTGTTTTCTTCGGTCGAAGGGACGAAGTTCGAAACGAAATCTCGTTTCCTGCTCGTAGCCAAGTGAAAAAGATTACTTCGGGCACGGTATGAAGCACGAGCAAAAGGAGAACAACGAGCGTTGGAGGCAACCGTTGCCAGGAACGAAGAAAACCTCTGACCGTTCCGCGTTTTTCGTTTCTGCCTTCCTAGCGGAGGTGCCTGGCTTATCATCG